TGTGTTTATGATTTAGCCTTTCAGGTTTTTTAATCAAAGCCTATAAAACCACTTATATGGGACAAAGATCTAATATATAAAATCGGAAACATATTTTTTTTTATTTTTATGTCAATGCGGGCTGTGAAATGTAGCTATTACTCCTCAGTTCTCCAAACTGAAATTGTCACTTCGCTGCGATATGAAAGATAAAAAGAAAAACAAATACAAAGTGTATTTGTTTTTACATTATTACAACATGAATAAGAATTCCCATTTAATCCAAAATTACCACAAAATTATCAACAGACAAAAATTCAGACACAACATCCACTACCTATGCTATCGCTACATCGTAGCGTGCGCAGGAAAGGGGCGGTCTGACAGAACCAGTTCGGCGCAGGCGCACCGGCCACAACCAATCCTGCAACCATTGCCTACTGCCTCATATTCCCAACCACATTGTTTTTAATACACGTCCTCTATTTCTGCCTTTATTTAAAAACCTGTAGCACTTGTAATTCTAGTTATTACTAGGCTTTAACTAGGACATTATCAGCTACTGTAACATGGTAGTCTATTTTTTCTAAGACGTTTACCATGATGTATAATACTTCAAATAACAGAAACTACCACTTCCGCGCGGTTTCACCCGCTTTGCTCGGCTTCTATTGTCCGTAGCGTGATGTTTTATAGCCTATAGCCTTCCTCAATAAATGGCCTATCTAACACAAAAAGAATTTTCCAAATCGGACCAGTGGTTCCTGAGATTAGCGCATTCAAACAGACATACAAACTAACAAACTCTTCAGCTTTATGTAATAGTATAAGAGTTTAAGATAGTATAAGATAAGTTCCGCCAGCGACTTCGTTCGCATAGTAAAAAAAAATTGCCTCTGTGTATGTCTCTATCCAGCCTCCTATCTTTAGACACAAAAATCATATCATATTAAACACCTACCTCTATACATAACAAGTACACAGACACGAACACAGAAAGCTCTACTTTCTATGAGCAACTAGAACTAACCATCCTACCATATGGATCTATCTGTTAAGATAGGTCATGGTCTATTAGTAGAACAAATTTTATCTAAATCCATCCAGCAATTTGCGCTAACGAAACGAACATGTATCTTTATTATTTTACCCTTTTTAAAAGCGTTTGGGTCAAAAGAGTACAATGACTTTGCACCCAAAAAGAGACACAAAATGGCTTCCTCCTAAAACAATAATTAGATACGTTAATTAACTGTCTTCGTGCATCTTCACACGCATTAAATCAAGACATTACAGGATGTTAAACCCCTTTCGTTTAATTCCCATAACCACACATGTCCTCAAAACTATAAAGAAAGCACCACGTGGACAAAACCCTCGCGTAAACGTTAACGTCACAAATAAAAATTATATGAGAACGCCTCACTAACCGGTGACGTAGTTCGGTTTGGGTTGTTGACTTGCGTTTAGTTTATCGACATTTTGTGATTTGTCTGAATGGTTTAGAAGAAAGGTATGAAGGTTAAGATAACTTTATAATTGATCTCTGAAAAGGATATGGGAGTGAGATTCTGAGCTAAGAAAAGAAAACGACAATAGGTACATACTTAACTTAGTCCAAATCGAAACTCGACACGTTATGGTTAGCACCTGTAATATAACATAACATACATACATAACATCACGCCTTTTATCCCCGAACGGGTAGGTAGAGGTGTACATTATGCCACTGTACAATGTAACACCCACTTTTCACTATTTATGTTGTGAGTCCCATATACCGGGGACAATTCCAGACTCCGTGCTACTACTGTGAATTTTTTGATAAACCCAGTAATACTTTGCCTGACCCGGGTATCGAACCCGAGACCCCTTGCCCGGCAATCATACTTGCGTCGTCACCTGTAATATCTAGATATGTATTTACGCAATATATGCGTTCAGCGCATTGCAAATAGCTCCGTAGACGATTTTGAAAACCTTTCAAGAATAAACCAAATGGAATATTGCAAAACTTTAGATATAGTATTTAAAATTCAAATACAAAACGTATTTCACCAAAAACAAATAACAATACACTTAAAATTAAAACCTATCGTCATAATTATTTCCGATCATCTCAAATTCCTTATTAACCGCAATCACGGCTCGGACATTCAAATCAAACTAACAATCCGACATTGAAAGGGTTAAGAATCCCATAAGATACCGAGATACCAAACGTCCATACGTCATAACCCTACATTACAAAAAAAAAGGTTAAAAGAAAAAAGTTTGATATAAAATGACACCACACATGTGCAGGCATCCGGCTCGGCCTACGCGTCATTAAAAACTTAAGCTGTCAAATGTAGAAAATCATTTGGTTTCATCCCGTTTATATTTATTTTATCTGTGGCCCGATTATAAACATATGTTTTTCGGTAATAAATCTTTGTCTTTGTGCGTCAAATATAAAGGATTCGTTGTCCAAGTGAAATGTATCGCGTTTGCGTATTATTATTACTGGAATATTGTGAAACAATGGCTTTGTTATTAGTTATTGCATTTAGACACAGGCGTTTTATAATTAAACAGAATTCATGTATGTATTACTTGCTTTCCTAATGGTAAGTCTTTCCTTAGGCAAGTCCAATCATTCAAATAATTAAAAAATAATTCTAAAAATACCCAATATCATCCCAAATTACGTGTAAAATGTCATTTAATTACAATATTAAACAAAAAAAAAACAAAAGCGTGAAAAACAATAAAAGCAAACGAATTACATCGTCAAAGCGTCTCGTTATGATCGAGTTATCGTCAAATCGATTCTGGTATCGATAACTTTATAAAGTAGCATGATTTTATCAACGTTTAGCCGATCGCTTTAGTTATTAACGATGTCTTCCCAAACCAAGATAGATGGTGCACGATTTTTTATAAGGCTGAATGCGTCTATACCGATGACGAATGACGGTGCTTTAAAAAAATTTTAACCTCTAAATCGATAATGAGGTTTTAACGAGCGGCCATGTTGATTAATTTTTGGAGGGAAATGTTTAAGTTTAAATATTACAAGTGTTTTAGTTAAAATCGGACTGAACCGGTTCCAAATGAGTTTTTATTATGAATCATTAGTAAGATTATGTCAGATTGCTACTGAATCGATACAGTTTTCGATTTACAAGTCACTTATCTCTGTGTCACAAACCGTTGCTCTAGTAGGTACGTATACTCTTAATATGTAAGTACAGACAAAAACAAAAACTTTACGATAAAATTTCCTTCTTATTTGACATTTACGTACTTTATATTTATGGCAAAAAAGAGTACCAACAAAAATAATATCAACATTAAACAATGAAATTGTGTATGTAAGAGAGGTTTTTCTATGTTTTTTTCTTAAATGACGATTTTATAATTACGTAGCCGCGTAGCAAGTTTAATAGACAATGTTTCCGTAGGCCGTAGGCCCTACGCCTACGCCCTAAGCTACGCCGTAGTCTCCGCTACAAAATTAAATTTTATAACGTTTTTAGTTTTATTCTAGTCAATTAGTTGTTATGAGACTTTACATGGAACGAAAAATAAATAAGCAGATGCTTAATTATATTACAGCAAGAATATCTACTTTACTTCCTTAATTTCAAGTATAAATTGTGAAAAATTGATATAATGCGTTTATTTCATAATAGCTACTATTATAAATGAAAATAATCAATACGCTGTGTCTGTTTAACCGTCAAGAGTAAAGGTGAAATAGATGTGGCATAGAATTTTCCGAAAATCAAATCAACTCTCCAGACATAAAATTCAAACTCATAAAACAGACCACCTTTAACAACTGGTATAGTTACATTAAAAATACTCTTGTAATAACACTTTACTACCCAACAGTACACTGGTGTTGGTATGTCAGTTAGAGTAACATCGGAAACCTGATACAGTGACAGTGGCTGTCAAAAATGTCAAGCCTGACCGCAGGAATGAGTTCCCATTACTGTCCAACTACTAGCCACGTGTTTTGGTCATCTGTGACAGTACTTATCTTTAAAAGAAAGTTTAGTCTAAAATCTATAATAATTCCCGAAAATACATAACAATGAATGAACCTCCTTTTATAGAAGTTTGCTAAGTTCATCCACTTATCACCACTTACATATGTTTAATCCTATCGTAATAGATGACGAATAATGCCATACGAAGAGACAATTTCAAACTCCGCAATATTATTCAGAAATAAGAAACACCTAGTAATATACATACATTGTACTTAACCCGAGTCACCACGCGTTATAATCTCACTTATGTTCGCTCGACCAACGATACATACATAACGTAATGATTGCCTATTTAAATAAACAGATATTTTATAATATTTACACAGCAAAAATCTATCAGTCCGCCATTTGCATTTCCCTTTGAGCGGGAAAAGAAAATGGTTGCATTTTCCCGCTTTTTTTGTGACGCCACAGACTCAATACGTCGAGAAAGTAAATCATTAGAAACGTGCTCATTCTATAAGTTCCTTTTATGTTAGATGATTTCACTTAAGTATTAAAGCGCTATTATGGAACTGAGAAACAGAAAATTGGTATTAACTATAAGATTAAAAAAATAAATAAAAATTCCCAAAAACTGGATTATTGTTTGTTAGTGAACGGTGCACAATCTCTCACTACAGTGATCAAATTTCAGTAACTTTCTCATTTCACGGGGTCCATCACATAATGCTCTCTGGCTGAAACTACCGAAACGTCTCGTGGCGCACGACGTGACATTTTATTAAATTCTTATTCGTTTGGCGCAGTGAGTGTTATGAATCGCGCGCGACACGCGATGTCGCGAGCTGTGCTGTGCACCCAGTCGCACGCCACCGCCCTTTGTGGCGATATGCGCACCATTTATCACACGATACCAACTTGCTCCGTTATTTCTACGATTAACCAAGAATTTTGGCACATTTACTTCGGAATTGTCATGCGCAATTTTGTGAATCATCCGACAGTCATAATAAAAGTTATTTTCTTTACTTCCAGACACGACAACACCGTACGTCCTCTACAAAGATGGTGTGGAGCGAGCCCCACCAGGCACGCAGTGGGGCGGCGGAGTGCTGGACGGTGGCTACCAGCCCATGCAACACCAGAGCCCCGGTGGGCCCTCACCACAGCCCGAGCCCCAGCTCGCGTCGCCAGCTCCATCACCCTACCCACCCGCGCCGCCGCCCCCAGATCCATCCGCGGCCGCGGAGGACGCCGCCCAGCAGCTCGCACAGCAGCAGGCCCAGCAACAAGCGCAACAGCAACAACAGCAACAGCAGCAGCAACAACAACAAACTTCTCCAGAACATATGCAAGTGGAGCAACAGCTCCAAAGTCAACCACAACCCCAACCTCCCACTCAGGACCACTTAGACCGAACACCATGCTTCGTCCCGCAGCCAGATCTGCAGCAACAATACACGCCGTATTTCAAAGAAGCGAGACCAGCGAGCCACATGCTGGGTACTGGTGGCTTCCCTTTACACTACTTGAAACAAAATGGTGGTGTGCTATCCTTAGAAGGTCCACTAGACCAGTACGCTGCACCTGACCTGCGCCACCTGCCTGACATCGTGCAGCCTGAGCCACCAAAGCCACGGAAACATAACCCCAATTCAGAGCTGCGCTTGTTCAAGTGCTTGACGTGCGGCAAAGACTTCAAGCAGAAGTCGACGTTACTGCAGCACGAGCGGATCCACACGGACTCGCGGCCGTACGGGTGTCCCGAGTGCGGCAAGCGGTTCCGGCAGCAGTCGCACCTGACGCAGCACCTGCGCATCCACGCGAACGAGAAGCCGTACGCCTGTGTGTACTGCCCGCGCTCGTTCCGGCAGCGCGCCATCCTCAACCAGCACCTGCGCATCCATTCCGGTGAGAAGCCATATACGTGCGGCGAGTGCGGCAAACATTTCCGCCAGAAGGCCATCCTGAACCAGCACGTCCGCACACACCAAGGCGAGCGCTATTCACACATATATATCCCCCGGCCCCCGCGCGCGCCGCCCGCACTGACCACGCCGGTCACTGCCGTCGGCGCCCGCGCTCCCCGCCGCCCCCCGCACCGTCGATTCGGTCTCGCATCCATTGGCCTTCCTATCAAACAAATTCTCGGTTCCCTCGTCGCTCAAGCCACGCAGGGCGCTCGCGAGACGCGGAACCGACCGCCGGACGCTCCTGTAACCGTTCCTAGTTTGATTAACCCACTCGTCGGTTTTCCTCATTTTACCATGACACAGCAGTGACTCACCATTCTGTTCAATTATTACAGATGTTTCACCACATCTCATCTTCAAGAATGGAACTACTCCAACGCTGTGGCCCCAAGATGTACCATTCCCTGCTGACGAAAACAAAGAAGAGATCCAGTCAACTTTCGGCGACGCAGATGGACAGAACGGTGACCAGCGCGGCTCCTGCTTCTCACCAGGCGACACGGCGCAATATCCAGCTTACTTCAAAGATACGAAAGGTCTCAATCATTCAGTTTTCAGCTCAGGTCTTTCTCTGCAATATTTGAAAGGGGGTAAGCTACCTGACGTACTTGGAGGAAGAGCAATGCCTCTGTACGTACGATGCCCAATATGCCAAAAGGAATTCAAACAAAAGTCAACGCTGCTTCAGCACGGGTGCATTCACATAGAATCACGCCCTTATCCGTGTCCAGAGTGTGGCAAGCGTTTCCGACAACAGTCGCATCTAACGCAGCACCTGCGCATCCATACCAATGAGAAACCATACGGCTGTGTATACTGCCCGCGCTTTTTCCGTCAGCGAACCATCCTCAACCAGCATCTGCGTATCCACACGGGCGAGAAGCCATACAAGTGCACGCAGTGTGGTAAAGATTTCAGACAAAAGGCCATCCTGGACCAGCACACGCGGACGCACCAGGGTGACCGACCATTTTGCTGCCCAATGCCTAACTGCAGGCGGCGGTTTGCCACAGAGCCAGAAGTAAAGAAGCACATCGACAACCACATGAATCCGCACGCAGCTAAAGCGCGGCGCGCTGATGCCGCTAAGACCCCGCGGCCCCTGCCGCCTGCTGCCGCTGTGGTGAAGCCCGAGCTGTACTTCCCGCAGTGCTATGCTCCACCGTTCCAACAGTTCCCCGGGTCGGGAGCCGAGTTCAAGCCCGCGGTGGGGCCTGGCGCGCCAGTGGCGTGTCTGCCGGCGCAGTGACCCGCGCCACCGCCGCGGTGGCACCCGGCGCCCTCTCATGCGCACGCGCACCACGACCTCTACGCCGCCGACCGCCTCTACAACTGAGCACGCGGCGACACAAGTATACGACCGCGCTACCTGCGCGCCCACATTACCAGTAGTCGATGTATCATTAACCGGATCGCTGTAAAACGAGCTTCGATCTGTAAATAACGTCCTGTTTATACTCTGTCGGGAGTCCTGTCGCGATGTACAATTTCAAAGTTCATCACGTGTAGTGTTACCGTCGAAGAAGCGAATGCAGTTAGCGTTTTTGCCCCGTAATCGTTAAGTTACCAAGTAAGAGTTAGTTTTCTCGGTGATTCTCGATTCTGCTGAAATGGTCGCAGACGCCCCGAGCAGATCTAGCTCGGAGATTAGGATTTAAAACACTTCGTTGAAATCTAAAAATTAAGAATTGATCTTTTACCACATAACAATATTTCGCGATGAATGTTTCTGGCGCGACGTTGTGCCTAATTGTAATGAATACCTATACATATTTTGTAGATGTATTAAGTTAATTTTATTTACGAGTATTAAGAGATAAAATCTGGCAAATTAATGGGGTTTATACAGGAATCCATGATGCTCAAAATACGTTAAAAGTAACGATAAGGAAGATAAGAATTTACGAGTTAGGTGTAAAGAGAGTTGAGACACGAGTCTAACGCGGGATGAACATCGTGTGAGGAATCATGAATGCAAACCAAAAACGTAGGTTACCTGTTGCCATCAACATTTACTTTGTTAGTGTTACGCGCGGTTCTGTCACATATACATGTGCGAGTACTGAATGTCTCCGTAACACTATAGGTGCCAAATAGCGTAGTGATTTTTAAATTTTTTCTACCAGCTTGTATTATAGTTGGCCTAGTTTAGGTTGTTACCAGTTTTTTCAACGATGTGACAAAATGAGATGCATTTAAGAGGAAAGGGTCAGACTGAGAGAGGACTGTGATAGCTAGGTAGGTTAGGTGTCTATTTCGCTCATTTAGCGTTTAATCTTCGTGTGTCGAGACGAGATCGGGAATCGTTGTGGGCTCGAGTGACTGTTCGGAAGTTTTCCTTTACGTTTTGTGCAAGTGCAAACGATTGCTTTTTATGTGAGTCGATTCGATATCGAAATTATGTTTATTATGTTCCTAAATTTTAATGATCTGTGGCTGGCAGGACGTGGCCGGCCCCTTCTTTTCCTTGACTGATTTGGTAACATTATTAGGATGAGTGAGATTAGTAAAATTTACCATAAAGGTGAAATGTGTGATGACGCAAAGTGCTTTGTAGTAGTTTGATCCAAGGGACGGAGGGTACGCCAGAGTAAATCTTATTTTTAATTTAGCTTAGACTATCGATTTTCGAATTACCAAGCAATTCGATCATTCATCGCGAAATAAATTAGAATTTAGGAAGAATAAAATATTATATGAATTTGTAACATTGATGGAGTATTCTGGTGGTGTGTATGAGTCTCAAATATTATCGCATTCACGTCATCCCCGTAAACAAAATGATGCAGCTCAAACAAATTGTAAACGTGGATATGTAGGCTTCATACTGAGCGAAGACACGGATATATTTAATATATCTGCCAAAAAATCAAAATTCATAAAAAACAAAAGATGGTCAGGCCCAGACACTGTACGAGTCTCCCAGACTATAAACTACGAACAGTGCCAGAATATTCCAGCAAACTTTTTAACGTTTTACTATCTCTGTTTGTACGTATAGGCAACTTATATAGCTTATTTTACTATATTATTGTGATGGTTTCGTTTTCCTACCGCATAATATGAACTGTTAATTAAATATAGGTGTAATAGTAAGGTGGATTCGTGGGAGTCACATAACCAATTTATTATTTGTCACTACGAAGTGATCGATGCAATATTATTTAGTGGGTTTATTGTGTGTTGATTTTACGACAAATTTATCGCATTGGGCAATTATGAAAATTAATCGGACCGTTAGTTGTGAACGCCGGCGCCGGTGCAGCGGACGAATGAAGTACACAGTTAACGAACCAAACAATCTTCTATACGATTCTTGTCGATTCCAAATCGAGTACCACAGATAGCTTTAGATCATCACCAGCGATGAGGACACAGTCACGTGCACCGTTCACAACTGACGCCAAACCTAGCATTTTATTTTCCCATTTGATTTTCCTATCAAACTTTCGGAGGTTTACAATCAAAAACATCGTTATCGAAGAAAATTAGAAACATTTATCTTCCGTGACTAACGTTTTCCACATTGTTCACATGTGATCCTCCTAGAGGGCAGCACCGCGCCGCCCCCGCCTCCCAACACAATAGCATAGGATTCAGTTCTGTTATAGTTTATACGACACACGAGCAGCCTTATACAATAATAGTTGATAAGTATTTTTATACAATAAAAGATATATTTGTTCCATACTGGCGGGGGGGGCGCGTCGCGGCCGAGTACAAAGTTTGAATACAAACGTACAACACAGTGCCATAGCCGAGACATAACCTCAGATTTATACTTATTAGATTTTTATACCGATACAAATGGATTTAATTTTTAAATATGAAACAAGAAGTGATTAAGTATACAGAGATTACAGATGATATTTTATACATTTATTACATACCATATTATTAAAAAGGTAAATGTGAAATAGTCTTAAAGTTAGTGTCGTGTGCAACGTGCTGAGTAAGTACTTACACTCGTATTACTTATACCGGAGTTGTGGAAAATTGATCCGAAACGCTATACATCCATTTTGCACAACTTTTATATCTTCAAATGCACGTTGGTTTCAAAATTTTAATTTTCACTTACAACTTACATTCAGTGTGGTTATTGTAAATACATATCATTGGGAATTATTGAGGCAGTGTTGCAACACAAGAAAATAATTTTGGTTTTTATTGAAACCGGAATATTGCAGACAAAAATGTAAGCCAACAAATATCGGAACATCGATCGATTGATACACAGAATGATTTAGTCATTGAATGGAATTACTGTAGTAAACATGTCCCAGACTGTTCCGTTTGTATTGCTCACTGTTTTGTTAAGTTTTGCTCAATTACACGTGTATGTATACCTATAAAGTTAATCTTATTAGTTATTATTGAGTACGAAATGATTTTGTAAAATATTCTTTTGAGAGCACGGTTTTGCTTTCTTATGAAACTAATTTTTAAGTGCTGAAAAGATTCGACTGTATACGCAGTCCCAGTAAGATAACAATTTGAACATTAAAATTGACAAATCTTGTAGTTCACAATATATAAACCATAGTAAACAGTGTCAAGCCGTATATAAACGTGCCGTCCAGTTCTGATCGGATATCCATACAGTATGTACCTAACTTGGATTATGTTCCCCGACCGCTCATTTCATAACATTAATTAGGTTTCAAGCATGTTCCTAACCTTTATTGATACGTAATATTTATTTATACACTACCTACAGACATTTCTTACCGACTACCCATAGGATAGAAGTTAGATTCAGTAAATCATTTGCCAATTCTTGTCTAATAAATATTTCCTTGAATGGAATCAAATTCCAGTATCAACAAGTTTATATCCATCAGACTCTCGGAGCCAAGACCTTCGATAGCAAAGTACCTACCTAATGCAATTTTACCCAATCATAGCTAAACAAGAAACATCTTCGTATTTAACTCAATATCAATACGCCTACTTAATTTTGTGTATTTTTAAGTTGTTAAAAATATTAAAAGGAGAGAATAAGATCGCATTGTAAAACAATACTTTGCATATAACATAATAATTATCAGGATAACGTCAATTGTATTAAATACAATTATAAAGCGATGTAAGTGAAACTGTAACGTTGCAAAGTTTGTTGAAACAATTAATTAATTTAGTTTTTAACACAACTTGTACTAATTCCTTTCGTTTAATGCATTTATTTGTGATCTCATGGTGAAATTGTACGGTCTATTATGTATAAAAATTGGCGAATGCAAGTCGACCTACCAGGGTGCTTACACTTGAAACCAATCTCAATATCAATGCAATTTCAATCCAATAAAATGTCAATAATTATTCAATGTAAAACTATACAATCGTAGGGGTTAAAATAGTATTCAGAGTACGGAATATAAAGCTAAACTCAATACCATTTACTTCATTCAACATCCACGCAATACGGATGCAATGGGCGCTAGTGTTGCAACTAGAGAGTACGAAATTTCACAATACCAATGTCGATCAATCGGAATTGGATTCAAGAGTAAGCCCCCAGTTCTGTTTCTAATGAAAAACAAACACATATCCACATTATGCATTGTTATATAACTTGCAGCAATATATTATAAGTTATCGTGTATTCAACATTACTTACCATTTAATTTTATTATACAAAACCAAGTTCCCATACATTTGTACATTATACACATAGGATACTTTTATGGTTTCGTCGCAAATTGAAACTGAATTGACTGTACCTACATTCATCAGGTATTGGTTTATCTCGGTGTAATATGTTAAATGAGCTTAGCGTAACAATTTTTGTTTGATACTGAAGTTGGCTACGAATTATTTCAACGTCTTCCATTTACATAATATACGGCGTTTTTAATTTGTGACAATATTTTAAGTTTTTTTTTATAAATTTTGGTTTCATACATTAGCCGACTGCTATGTTGAAACCTACCAGAAAATGTTGACAACAGTCAGTCCTAATGTGTGAACCCGATAAGTGTTATTCGCATTATTGTATAGTTTATACATAAAATCGTAGCTCTGCAACTAGTGCAGTCCCAGTGCAATACACTTGATATTTTGGCGATATTATTGTATAATTTATTTTATAAATGACTTATTTTAAAAATAGTTATTAGTGTTAATACAAATAATTGGTAGCCAACATAAAAATGGCCTATATATTAATAATTTGATAATGTTAGTATACACGTATCATTGTACCCACTGCCACTCGCCAACCGCTGTCGGAAACAGTAACGATACAAAGTAATAATTTTTTATCACAATAGAGACTTGTTGAAACAGTTCCACAGTAAAATAAGTGTTGTTGAATTTTTTAATAAAATATGGACATATTTAGATTAATGATCTTGTAGTCTGGATTGAGTTTTCTACAGATTTTATTAAATGCAAAGTTTTCAAGTATAATAAATGATGAAGCTACGTCGCCTACGCAGCTTATTTTTGCTACAATACTTATTTTAAGCCATACAATAACAGTTTTAAATAATAGTACAATACAATATACAGATTATACAATTATATACAATAGACATATACAATAAAGCGGTGATATTCTACATATTTTATTTACAAGCGCTGTAGGCGGCGTACCTTGAGGCATAAGTTCGTTTCATTAATGGGTGCTGTTATATCATTAATTGTACATATTTATTGTAATATACAATAGTCTGGTAATTTTACACTGTTGTTAGGTTTCTACAGAGTTATCCCCGAGGCTGTTCCATTACTGATGAAATAAATACATATATTATTTACTCAAACAATATTTATAACAGATTTCCGTTTCTAATGTTATAGCAATAGAGTTCATATAATGACAGTGAAATAAATAAATATTTATATACAATAAGACGGTCTGAATGGATCAGTATAGAACAGTCTCGGTCCATATGTTACAATAGAGTATATTTTCGTACATACCTACAGAGCCGATAGTAGACTATATGAAATTGATTTTAGACAATCCCAGAATACAAGATCGAACTTTTTACACACATCAGTAACAACAGACTTCAGTTTATTTACTATAGCATTATTACATATTTTGTGTTTCGAAGATAACAGTTGGTTGCGATATGGTCACAAAATCCAGGCGAAAAAATTCTAACGTTGGCATTTGTCGAAAATAAACAAAAAAAAAACGGTATTATTACGAAAAAAAAAATTGTAAATATATTTTCTAGTTCTTCCAAAATGAATAATATCAGTATTAAATACAAAATTCAACTTTGGTTAGGTCAAAAGTGTAATTGTGTGATCTATAGAGAATTTTTGCATTAGGATTTTTCTTGATATTATATAACTTTAAAAGGATATTTTAATTATTTTTAGTTAAGTACATTATTTTCTTTTTTTTTCTTTAGATTGTATTTTAATTGAATTTTAATGATCTTGCCTAGAATTGCATTTATGTTAGTTACTTTATGATACGTTTGAAGTTGATACCATCGTATTTATGTATATTATTATTGTATTAAGGGTTTTGTTTGTTTTTTTGTCATTAATAGAAGTAAAATGTTGTAAAAAGTAAGCTCGTTGTATTTTATCAAATAAACACTTTTTAGTCCAACTGAAGCAATACGTTGCAGTTTTATTTCATTGTTCTATTTTATTTTATTACCTATCCATTATGTCGTGGTGGCTCGGAGGTTTATGACGCCCGCTTCTCATGAATGAGGGTGCCGGTTTGAAAACTACCAACGGCTAGTACCAATGTGACTTTTCCGAGTTATATGTACTACCTAAGATTATTTAGACACCACTGACAAACGGTGAAGGAAAACATCGTGAGGTAACCTGGACTTATAATTTCTTATTATAAGTTTGTAATCGCCAACCGGCATTGAGCAAGCGTGGCGAGTAATGCTCAAAGCTTCTCCGTGTGAGAAGAGGCTTTGCTCGGCAGTGGGCATTTAATATCTGTTGATGATGAGCTACCCATTAATTAAAATTTAAATTAACATTGGGACGAGCCTGAAATCCTGAAACCCTATCTTTCGCACTTGCTACCACTCGTCTAGCGAGGCATTCTTCAATGCGGCAGTGCACACATACATGATTTTTTTATGGGATAAGCCTGTAAACGAACAGACGGATCACCTGATGGTAAGCAATCGGCGTCGCCCTTGGACACCTGGAACACCAAAGGCGTTACAAGTGCGTTACCGGCCTTTTGGGAATTGAGAATTTGAGGATTGTTGGAGATTGGGGAGCCTGGTGAGGGGTGTAATTGGGCCTCCGGTAACCTCACTCACACGTCAAAACACAAGGTTGTTTCACGTCGGTATTCTGTAAGGCCTCGTAGTATCGGGATCAGATAGAATTAAATACATTGAGGTCTATCTACAATAGAAATCAACACACTACTATTAAAGACAAATCATGTATCTATATAATATAAATCTCCTTATCGATTTCGAACATGGTGGCCAGTCTAACTAGACGAGCCCACTACGCAGCGCAGAAGATATTATAGTACACAAGTGTGTGCGCAAACACAGGTGCACTCTCTGTCCTCTCACTCTCTGAACCTGATAGGACAGTAGACCGACACACCGGAGAGAGATCAGACGCAGGACCAACGGCTTTACGTGCTTTCCGAGACACGGGCGTGAAACACCGTCGACCTTTCTGACTCCGGGCTAATAATGGTCATTTTACTCAGAAAAATTTTTGACCGGTGCAGATTTCGAACCGCGACACGTTTCGCAGATTACTCAACCCCTGTGCCAACCGAGCAGTCAAAAAAGGTAGGTAAACACACCATCACCGACTCAGTACAATAAAAACCCCATATTAGAATTCAAAAAATATATATTTTCTACTTAACAACAACATATATATACTATAATATATAATTGTACACTATTATACTTATACAACAAATTACTCACCACGCCGAGATAATTTTTCAATTTTTTCATTGTTATTGTAAATGCATAGGTCCATGAAAGTTAGGCTTAGCAGCAGGCAATGACCTAACATGTCTTTTTGAAGATCTTTTTGGGACCTGAACATGTCCTGTAAATGTTTAGGAATGTAGGCATGATAGTTTTTCGAAGATTTTTCGCTGAACCCTTGTAACAGGATTTCCACTGTCTGGTCTGTTGATACTCTTTCGTTGCCTACTAAAGTGCCGTATAATCTGGAAGAAATGTGTTAGATCAGTTTTGGGATTTAGGGTAGCTGACTTGAATACTATAATCGACAAAAGTCGAGGATTTCGGAGAGATGTACCTACTGTGAAATGACTTTTTGTATAATACTGCATAAAAGTGAATGTGATAATATATCTAAGAATAAATAAGTTTATACCAGTCATTATGGTAGTAAATATATCATGTTATTGTATGATTATAATATATTATCTAGTTATGAATTAAATTGCTGCGCCCTACCAGGGTAGTGAACTGAATTAGTTGTATGTGCTTCTTATTATATATAGAGGTATATGAACATTGTGCAATATGAATACCAGAAACCTGTTAACTCAGTTCCAGATAACCCGTCGTGTCTCTAAACGTGGATTCACCCGAAACACAATGTATTTCCCATTGTGTCTCATATACAGGCATTCAAGCGGTTAAAAGCTGACCATCATTATCATCATCGTCATCATATCGTTCCTTATTCACTTCACACGATACTCAAGGTAGGATTGTGTACTAAACTCTACCGGCACGGCAAATGAATAGCAATAGAACTTACAAAAAAGATATAAATAGATAAACTTATATATATAGATATAAATAGATATAAATTATATTACAACGCGGAGCTAACGCCATCTATGTACCACGCTAAAACCTTTTTCAAAAGAAGCGACATCTACGAATGCTATCAGGAATAATTAAAGTTGTGGCTACTCTTTTCTGTCTGACAAAATGAAGCAGATATTATGTAGTTGTCTTTATAAAGAATCGTTTTTATGGCAAACGGTCCACTGAACTGCATTAGGTAGAGGGCGCTACTGTTGAATTAGAGCAGATTGAACATGCGTTCATGTTGAAAATATGTTAATAAAATATTATTCTTGCCATAGTATAAGTAGATAACATTAAGCTAAAAAAATTAATAACTAATTTGAAACCTTAATGCCATAAAATAATGTTAAATTGACCTTGCTTTATTTAGAACTGGTTATATATTATAGTCTGACTACATAAGTACCTGTATGGAAGTGTAGGCCTTAGAAAATAAACTTTCTGTTTCAAAACATTGCCTTCATTTTCCTCATTTGATCTGTAAGAAAAATATTAACGTTACAATTTTACAAATACATACTTAAAATTTTTAGGAAAGGTATTTATTATATTTGTGATAGATCAAGAACATTCAGAAAAGGTATAATAATAATGATGGTTCGAGGAGTTGGAAACGCGCGTGGTGTCCGGCAGAGGGAGCAATGAGCGTACAACACAAGCACTAACACCAACGCCGCGAACGCGCAAGCTGCTTATGAGGAAGAGTCCCTCTGTGACTCGAAACTAGTAGAGCTTTTCGCAGTAGGTATATTTACGTATGTAACTCGTAATTTTTTGTTAATTCTGCATGTCTCACGACAGCATATGCATCCCCATCATATAGATGGTTGGCAGGCCACAACTGTGCGGTTCTCACGTAGCTTCCTGCCTCGCACAGCAAAACTGTGGAATGATCTGTCGTCGGCGGTATTTCCGAACCGATACTACCTTCAAACCTTCAAGAAAAGAGCGTACTCCTTTTTAAAAGGCCGGCAACGCACCTCTGACTCTTCTGGTGTTGCGGGTGTCCATGGGCGGCGCTGATCGCTTACCATCAGGTGATCCGTCTGCTCGTTTGCCTCCTATTCCATAAAAAAAAAAATATTATAAATTTTCTCATTTTTACATTTAAATGTGAAAAGAATTTAATATGTTAGTTGTTGGAGTCTTTATGATGGATACAGAATTCACAAAATAGGTCGTAAAGGTATACGATTCGTATCCAAAATCAATCGCTTACTCTGCTTACCATCACGTGGTCTGTCTGCTCGTTTCTACTCCATACAAATGTATTACTATAACACTGAAAATGTAAAACTTACGTTTCCTGGGATGCATTTCTAGAATTAATTAAAGCTACAATCATGGCCACCATCTGTGCCTTCTGGAGGTTGACGGCTAACACTTTGGGGTTGTTGGGGTCACTGCCCGCCGCCCTCAAGGTGGTGGGGGCAGCCTTCATCACGTATATGTCAGCTTGTGGGAGCTGCTGTGTTACTCGCCATGCCTAGACAGAAAGTAGTGTTTCAAACCAGGGTCTAACTAAAGGGTAGGCACAGTGTACTTAAAAAAACATCATAATTACTTTTAATACAAAAGCAGTGTCTCATTGGTAGCAAGTTCTATAGTTTCAGAACGAGACAGTATAATTGATATTTTGCGTAAATATTATACTAACTGATCAGGGGGCTTACTCTTCAATCCAATTCCGATCGATCGACATTGGTATTGTGAAATTTCGTACTCTTGAGTTGTAACACTAGCGCCCATTGTATCCGTATTGCGTGAATATTTAATGAACTACAGGGTATTGAGTTTGGCTTTATATTCCGTACTCTGAATGCTATTGTAACAGCTACGACTGTGGTTGTATAGTGTTGACTTTGAATAATTATTGAGATTTTATTGGATTGAAATTGCATCATGACATTGAGATTGGTTTCAAGAGTAAGCGCCCAGTTATAGGATTAATAGGAATAATAAAATTCGGTGAATGAGAGTCAGAATTGCCAATTGTAAATAGCGCAACCTGATATTTTAAATTGAGGCCTCCTCTTTGTTGCTGCTGTTATAATCACTTGGCCAGCGCGCCAGTCATATTCAAATATAAAATCACATATTACTACACTTAAGTTAACACCTTAAACTGTCAAACACCAAGCGGTCACCGGTGACCGCAACCTATTGTACTATAATTGTGTCTATAATGACGGTACTCGACGAGTTAAGGGACAACATAATATGGGCCATGACAGTGGAAGATTTGCTCTCAACAGGTTTCCAGTCAGCATTCAAAAGCTTGTAATGAAATTACTTACGATATCCAATATGTCAGTGATTTGATACCTCTTGCCCTCCGGATAGTCTATGCCAAAATACTTCCATTCTAGAACTTCATAGCTGCTTTTGTCTATCAACGTCCAACTGACTGAGTTCACTGTTATATACACCGATAATACCGATTTACATTCCTGTAAAGTGAAAAAAATATTCTTTATTTAGATTTATTAATTATTTAGATTTTTTACAATTATTTACCCCCCTGGTCAGCAAAAGTAAGCAAAGATCTTACCCCCTCCTTCTTTGCTTACATAAACATTTTAAATTATATCTTTTAATATCGTAATTTTAATATTCTTAATGTCTAGTTCTTTGTCGGTCTTTGCTTGTAATTTATAATTTCAATATGAGGGTTGCCATTCTTGTAAAAAAGTAAATAACTACCGATGACATAATCATCATCTGGACGCCCCTACCCCCATATCATCCAAAATAAGCAAAACAGAGATATCATGCTTACGTAATACTTGAACGACCTCTATCCTATAGTCTGAATGCATTTACAAACAGACCCAGGTCCACAATCGAGAAAACGCTCTAGACAAACACCTCATAGGAACTTGATTGTTTTGATACCGCTGCCACTCTATAAACAGGCATATAGGCACACGCGTCTCGTGCCAGGCTTTTGTAGTCTGGCACCCTAGACACTTGCCCAGATTGCTTTAATACGTTGTTGATATATCATACCCTTGAGCCTACCAATCATGGGTCGGCGGCGGTTGTTCATACAAAAGTAGTCTCTAAACATTAGAATTAAGATCTATAATGGAGTTAGTGGGAAGCGGTCACTGCTGACCGCTTGCGGATTGAACAGTGAAGACTAATACAGGTCTGTCCAAGACAACCAGATCACACAGACAATAAGGATGATGACAGTGTAGGCCTTGAAGCAATCTAAACGGCTCCCGCCAACTTTTAAAATTTCTTTTATCTATATACTTTACAGGAGGGCAACAACTAATAATGATAATTAATTACCTTCGAAACACTATCGCTTAAATACGGATGTAATATCTGCCCCTTAATTTTGCCATTTGTCTTCTTTTCTTTAGATGGACCGCTGAGTATACTTCTAAATAATTTATTAGCAGTTTTTTCTGAAAATCCATCTATGTATTCTATGTCGGATAACGATTTCATCTGTCCATTACTACTTTTCCATTGTGAGAACCTCTTTAGATTGGCTTTGCTTACTTCGTAACTGAAAAAGAAAAAGTTTTACAGTGTTTTAAAGACGTCTCTGTTTGGTTTATTGCATAATATTTACAACATGTGAGTCAATTAATAATGTTAACAAAAATATTTATTCAATGAAGTGAGAGAAAACTAAGATGAGAAACCAAAATTAATTAACAAAATATTACCTCGAGAGAATATTATTATCTGAATTATTGATAACTTGTAAGATTTTTTCCTTTTCTATATCATTGTATTTCTGGTCCAATCCTTCGCTAAAATAACATTTTGAGACTACAGATACTCGGCAATTTGAGCACAGTGGACTCTGAAAGTACCTCTTATTTAGCATATTTATTTATTTTATACATAACGATATGAAATGAAACACAACCAACCAATATTCTTTTCGACGAATTTACGATGTTTAACATCATTTTATTACAATAATTATATAGTTGTTGAATTAATCATAGAATAATGATGTTATGTTTAACAGTTTAAAACTTTAAAATAAAATTATCATAATTTTAATAAAAATTACTCAAATTGTTTACTATTTTTATAACCTCAAATTTTAAGATTTCGTTTGATTCATGTCAACGTCAATTTGACACACATGCATGAGTGACAGTGACAGACACTGATTAGAAACTATAAAACCACACGTTACACGAAAAAAACTTAGATTTTTGGAATCATAAAAATATTCAGTTAATTATAACATGATTACATTGTTTTAAATTTTAAAATAATCATTAGCGCCACGTTTTTTCGTCTTGTAATACGTGTTGACATAGTAGCGACATCTGTTGGCTAGAAACCAAACCAAATACAGCAAGTGGCTTATCATGAAGGTTCGATACAATAAAAAGCTTGTTCAAAATATTCACAACAGATGCCACTAGTGTTGTACAGAGAACATTAACATTTTGTGCTATGAATAAAATATCGTAGTCCTACGTACGTATTACAGTCCTACGTGAGTAACTGAGTAGGTTGTTTTCACGATATACAATCGGTTTGATAGTGCATTTATATTTCAATAATTGCAATGTTATAGGTACCTACATGATATCTCTTTTTCGTAAAATACAGTACCTACTTACCCACCTCTCCATTTACCAAGTCAGCAGTTCAATATACCTAGGCATTATAATTCTACTCGGATGAAAATTCTTTCTGAATTGTCAGAAGCATCGACCTTGGGATGGTAGCCTATTGTATCCACTTCTGTAAGTTCTGTACCTTTTGCGTGGTATCCACCTGCTCCATAATAATTAGGTACTACAAAGACCAAAGTTAAATGACATTTATTTGAACAATTCAAAAATGGAAAACAACAAACAAAAGACTTGAGAACAAATGAGTTGGCGGATGACAAAACGTCAAATTTATGTATTTTTAGATGAACGAAAACATTGAACATGAAAAGTATTGACCAAGGTACTTTCAGAAAGCGATTTTGTAGATGACTATCTGTAGGTACGTGTTAGTAGACACCTACTGATCAACACAACAGTGAAGGAGTGAGCATAGAAGAAGTAAAACATACAAATAAAGAATAGAAGTAAGTTCGTATAGCAGGTTACAGACAACTTGTACGTGTTAGAACAGGACAACAACACAACTTTATCTCGCTTCGACTGGCGAACCGTCGCATAACAAAATGGCGCCGACCGCCCATCGACATTCACCGTGCGGCTTCACGCACACATCGAACAATTTCGCATTTGACGATCTTCTTTGCTTCGAGAGAGTTCGCTCACAACGACGCTCATTCTATATTACTGCTAGACTGCACTTTTCTGAAGACCTTTAGGTGAGTTTTGCTTTGCCTATTTGTTTACAAATTCACATAGGATTTGAAATAAAAATTTTCAATTGACCTTCAAAGAAAATAATTGGAAACAATTCTTCTGTCAAATCTTCTGTGACTTGACTTGTTCAAGGACGACCATTCATTGACTGTGGTCTCTTTTTATTCTAAAGAAGGGCATTAAAAAAAATTGGTCCTTTTATTAATTTAAGGAAATACTAGGTACAATATTATTAATTGTTGTTCATTCAAAAATTCAATCAAAATGATTCCAAGATGGGCATAGGTACCTAATAAGTAGGTAGCTACTTATACCTACTTAGGTATCTCATATCGGCCGAGTAGATATGGCAACGTCGCACTTCTTTATTCAACCAACCAGCATAAGTTGGTATTTGGTACGCGGTAAAATAACCCGACGTTGATAATAATGTTATAAAAATTCGTTTTATTTTCTCATTGTTTTAGCTGACCTAACTGTACTTGTCACAACTTCGACGTGGCACCGGCATAATTTCATACTTCCTAAATACTATTTCGTGTAGACTAGCGAGCATGGCATTGACTACAAAATTGATATGCTAGCTAGCTGGTGGGCAAAGCCGTCACGAACTTGTTTGTGCAGTGTTGCCAAACCGCTGGCGCTGGGGCGCTGCCACTCTGTTATAACGTTACCTATCTCTACTTACTCATACCTCTATTTCTGCTGTGTATGATAAGGTTCTTGTTTGTGTGTTCATGTTTCAGATCCAGACTTTTACTTTAATCCATTTCCTACGTTAGATTTTCTAATTAATTATTATGCATTTCATCTTTATTAGGCATGAGAACCTTGGGTCTTCAACACCTTGTTCAATATTTTTGTCAAAAGAAGAAAAAATGTCATGGAAATATTGTATTTTTCAGCCATCTTGTTTATTGTCCATCATATGGAGAGACTGACGTAGCTTCTTCTGTCTCGCTTACTCCTAGGTCCTTCCGAATGTTCAGCATCGTTTTGTCTTTGTTTGCGCCGGTTTCATCTACTATGTACGAACTTAGCGTCAGTACTTGTTATTTAAACGATAAGATTAATACATATAATTAGATATAGGTATGGACAAATATATAAAGAGATAATTTTCCCTACCAAAAACAAAATTTGAAAATTAAATATATAGGTAGGTATCATTTAGTTCGGTTATTCCTTATTATTTTATTTGCTGTTATTCACACTATCAGGTGGATCCATACACATTTTTTCAAAGGACACTAACCCACTTTTTGCCTTGTCAGATCTCGGAAACATTCACAGTTTTCCGTCCACTATCGGCTCACTTAACACGCTGGTTATGCATGGTTCAACCAAAGGAGTAATGAATCACGCACTCACAGTTTCGATACACTCGGGTGCAAAGATTCTACAGATTATGACATAATAACTTAAAAATTTTTTCGCTGGTTTTGTAATTAATTTTATTCCTGATTTGTAAAGAAATACAAAGTTTCTTTAATTAAATCATAATGGGACTAAACTTGGAACTATGGGCAGTGTTCAGAGAAATATTTACACCTACTAAACTTATTAAAAGGCTAAAAGCCTGTCAGTAGCATTGCTCTGTTTCAGCCTAGGCAAAGGCAAGGCAAATATTATGTGATCATTTTAGCATATTTTACAAACATTGAAAACATTCTATTTTTTATAGTGACGTATTACTGACATATAGCTCTATTCGGGTGAGTTCGGCTCCGATCGTGTGATCTCGGCAACGAGTCAAACGACCCACTCGACTCGGCTGGCAGCGTATGAACGGCAACGTCGCTTGCTCGAACAGTTCACGTTATGGAACTATTTTTGTGATATTATTTCTCTCATTTCTCACGTTTTCTTTGTTTTATTATATGAAATCATCAAAGCTTATTTTATATATTTTATCAAATCATGAAAGAAGGACCAACAATTGTACAGAACCCAACCGACCAGAAGTCGATCAAAACAGTCATAAAATTTTATTCCTCTTGTGCAAATCTTTACGTAGGCACTTTATAACAATACTATCTAGTCTACAAATAGATGCTTATTACAAAGAACCCACGTGTCTACTCAATATTTACCAAAACGAAAATTCTCACATTTGCGCATCTTTATTAACAGCTTTATTACTCTACCTCATTACCGAACGGCTATCATCAACATCACTTATAACAAACAGAAACAGAAGTAGAACGCAAGAGAATGAGCCGCCATTATCGGATACGTAACATGACCTCGCTGCACACGATAATAAACAGAGTGCTAAGTATTGAGTAGACCAAGGAGCAACAATCGCGACTGTCCGATAGTCGCTCGCTTACCTTTTCCGTTATTTGGAATGTGAATTTTGCTATCTCGCTCTTTGGCCTCCGCACGTGTACAACGGTATCGAAACTCAGCTCTCCGTGTCGCTATACTCAGTGCCTCAGTTCGTTCGTGTTTCATCGACGCTCTCTGTCGGCAATACTCGGTAGAATGTAGCCGCCATTTTCTTCTCTCTCTATCTGCTGCTGGCAGCGGCAGTGTTGATTCGAACGCGGAATCGGACACCCGTATATTGACAGATTTTGTATTCTTCTCGTCTGTTCTTCTACAGGGTGAGCGGAAAGAAGTAAGATTTGAAAACATTATTGTGTTTGTAGTATGTGTAGCGGAGGGTGGGGATGAGCCTTGGAAATTCAAATTAATCGCAATGGAGCGTTTCACGGGTTCACAGCGTGCGTTTTGTGTAAAAAATTACTACATAAATGATGGATCGTGTGTCGTTGTTCGTCGTTTATTTCGTTCTGAGTTCGGTCTGCATGGTCTAAATCAGTGTCCCAGTGCAAGTGTAATTAAGTCTTGGATTGAAAAGTTTGAATCTACTGGTTCGACTCTTAACCAGAAACCTACGGGTCGTCCAAGTTCAACAAGAACAGAAGAAACAATTACCAAAGTTAAAACTTCAGTCCAACTTAACCCTGGACTATCAACTCGCAAGCGGTCAGCTAAACTGGCTGTACCCAGGGCGTCTTCGCGTCGTATTATGACGAAAGATCTAAGTACTTATTGTTCATTCTTCATTTATTATTTGTTTTCTTGCATAAACTTCTTTGATGACAACCTTCTCTATACGACTGTTATCATCATAATAATAAAATAAGCGTGCCTGTGACTTTGACGTTTATGCTAAATGCATGGTTGTGCACAAGTGCACAATAACTTTTTTTCCAATGTCCGAGTGTCTTTATTTCATATAATTATCCTATGTAAATCCTTTTTACGACTTTAGACTCTATAACTTGTCCTTTTTGGAAAAATGAAAATCTCAACGTTTTGTTTCAAGTTATGTATCAATAGTTCAATATAGGTTTCTATTTTTTTGTTTCTGGTAAGGGTATATCCTCATAACACCTGTCAAATTGATTCAAGCGATAATAGCCTTTATACGAATGCCGCAAGGTTTAACATAGGTTTCGCTAATTTGTCATTATTATGTTATCATTTTATATTTTTTGCTTTGTTTGATTGTAGAATAGATTTTTGTTGTTATGATATTATTTGTCATCATTATTTTACAACTTAAGGTTTTATGATTACATTTCTATGGTCCTTTTTTGACACAAAATAAAACGAGAAAAATGAATCCATAATGCTTGTATTTTTGTCATATTTATGGAGAACAGTCCCCAAAATACTTTTTATTTTTTTATTATTATTATGTGCGGTTTTGCCAACTCGACATGAGTCACCATTATAAAACAACTTAGTTCAATTCTTGTTTTTATCTACTTTTTTTTGTGTTGAAGCGCTACGAAAAACAAGCAGACAAATTTTTTTCCCTGCTTCGTTCCTCATTTGATGAAGACTTTAGATTTTCCGAGTTAAACTCAGCTTATCTCTGTGCCATATTTTATCCAGATCAGTTCAGTCAGTTTGACGAGGTTTATCACCTAACCGTGTTTGAACATCCATCGGTCCGGGTATTTTATATAATCGATTTTGGTTGGCACTGGTTCGTTCAATAGTCTCCATACTGCTTTCCACGTTCACCTCGTTCCATATTATCGCTAGACCTGGAGGGTTATATCTCGCTCTCTCTCTCTCGCACGGCTGAGATATGCATTGTGTGAATGCAACAGCAGTCTGTCACGTCTTTCGCTTGAGCATTTGGCGATCACCGGTGCAGTTGGGCTCTAAGCGAGTGGGGAATTTATTCCGGTATTTCATTCGCCATCGGATGGCGGCCATCTTGATTTGATGATCAACATTGTATATTAAATCACTTATTTACGTCAAATCAAGAGTCATTTTCATGTTAATTTTCGCACCTGTGCAATTTACCTAACCTTTGATAGTATTGAGATTAATTTTCATCTAAGACTTTTCATTCCAGCTAGTAACTGATTTTATTAGACTTTTACGCCATGTTCTGTCAATGATGGAACAGAATGATCCTTAAATCCATTGTCATATAATTTGAAATATAATCATACCTACGTACTAGACAGCAGGGACTAGGCAAATTTGGGTGTTAGAATTAATTAGATATAAACTTATTTATGTATGCGCAATCGAGTACTGATTAGGTTAACCACAAAAATAGTATAACTGTATCACAAAATATGTTTAACAATTTTGCATCCACCTGTATAATACCTATGTATTATTTTTCTTTGGATATCCGGATTCCGCACTTGATACCTGTTTTTTATTATTTTTTCATATCAAACTATAGATGTTGGCGCGGAAGATTTGCACCAAAGCCTCTTAAGTCATTCGGCTCAGACTTCTTTTTAATAAACATCTGTCTTTGCTTGTATCTTCCGGGTGAATATAGTATGAGGGGCACTTTCCCTCCTGACGGATACATAGCCTATCGCCACTAATATATCAATAGTGACCTCCTATAAAGAGCAATCACAATCCATTCTCATCCCGAAATCGATACGATATCCTTCTTTTACCGTCGACTTGGTCGGTTAATAGGGCAATGACCAATAAAACTTTTATTTTGCGACCTAATAGATCAGGGTCAATGGCGACTATGAATATTCGTAAAGCATGTAGGCTAAATACCAATTAAAATCGTTGTGGAAACAGAAGAAATTTATAGGAATTTGCACGACCAAAATAAACCATCCCATTTCAAAGAAACTGATTTGTTGCTATTTTTAGATCATGAATATTGATTTGATCATTCATTATAGGCCAAATGGGATGGTATAAAAATGTTTCATTTCTTTACCACCTACATTTTTTTGACATTTCGTTTCATCCCAAGTAGGTTTACCTGTTCTAATAAATACCAACTTACCCTTCGACCCAGTGATTACGTAACTGTTTCATGTTCCGTAATTTCGCAACATTGTTTTAAATATTCTGGTCCTGAGCTCTTTGTTAGTTAGAAGCCGGATTACGTTCGTCTTCGTCGGCAGGGCGTAGCTTAACCAATTCTCTCAGGAATTTTCCTTGCATCCCATTTTGAATAGTTAGGTTTGATGCAGTAGGTACTTAGATTGTCAAACGCCTCTTCTTGTTAAGAGTGTCTTGTATTGACATTTACGTAATTTGTGTGGGCATTCTCTACCTACAACAAGTATTCGTAACAAATTCTCGTTTTGATTCAACGGAACGGTCTACTATTTTTGGGGAAGGTTGACGAACTCTTTTTTTTACCAGGTGCCCCTCTAATTCGCTTTTCTGAATTTGTTTGTAAAAGGTCTAATGGGTCGTATTTGTACTTATGGTAGTGGTAAAATAACATTTCTCAAAATGTTCTACGTTCAATTATTGTAATGAAATGAGATTTTTTAGTTGAAGCCTACTCACATACACATTTGGTGATTTATTCGATTTTTTCTGATCTTTCTATTAATATGGATATGGACAGATGGACCATGCAATAAATATTATCCAGATACATATCTCCGTGAAATTAAAATGAAAGCATAATTTTCTATAGACGTGTAAATATGCGACTATTTTCCTGGATTTGATTGATTTTTACTTTGTAAGGGAAGCCATTGATCATACACGGCGTTCCGTTTCGCGCATGCGGTATCGTGATGTCTGCGTCGTTTACGCTTGATCGTAAATGAGCTATCTAGTGTTCCCCAAACGGTCTGTGTGGACTTTATCACGAAACGAAACGTTAGCGCCTCTGCGTTGGGTCTGCTCGGTCGCGCGGTACTTGAAGTTTAGAATTATTTCTCATAGATGGCGTAACTTGTATACTAAATATACTGTCAATGTCAATGTACTGTCATGCTGCGGCTAGGGTTAGTTTACGATTTACGAAATTTGTTTTTGAATTAAATAATAGCTATAATATATCTGGACGGTATATCCACGAAATTAACAGGGTTTTACATAAGATAGATATAATGTAAAAATAAATTACTCATTCGTTTTCTATTCCTGTTTCAGGTGCGGCGTCGGCTTCTGCAAAACAGGGAAATGATAAACAATGCAATTAATTATTGACTCTGAGCCTGGTCTAGCTATAGAAAAAGATATGTCTACGATCGACGATATTGAGAAAGTTGGAAATGGCAATATTGAGAAACTTAATGAGAATAACTGCAACGGAAACAAAGAAAATATTGGAGATGTTAACGTAATTGCAAATGATCAAATAGACAAACAAAATATTGATGCGGATGTTGTATCCGAGACACAGAGTGAAATAAAATCATTGAATTCGGAACCGGAGAAGACTAATGGGCTCGAAACGAAAGAAACTGAAAAAATTCATGACTCTGTCGCAAATGGTGAAGAAACAAAAGAATCTCAAAACAATAGCTGTAATGGAAAAAATGGGAGCACCCCTCTCAGTGCAGAGCAACCGATTGAAAAAAAACATGAACTAATTGTCTGTGAAAGTATTACAAGTAATAGTAAAGTGAACAATACAGACCAAAATAAAGAATCTGCCGTAGGAACTACTGATGTTAACAATGAAACATCAACTGTAACAAAACCTATAACTGGCGATGAATTAACATCTGCTGATAATATTGTAGCAGTAACTAATAATGTTAAAGCGGCAACAGATAAAATTGAAGCACAAACTGATAGTGTTGAAATGTTAACTGATGATGTCGAGGCAGCATCTAATGAGATTGAAGCAGACACTGATAATGTTGAAGCAGCGCCTAATAAAATTAAAACGGTAACTGATGAAGTTGGAGCAGCAACTGATAATGTTGTAAAGGTAACTGATGATGCTGAAGCAGCGACTGATGCAACAGACAGTAGTGAAACTGTAACTGACACAGTCAATTTAAATAAACCAGCATCTGAATCTGCACCAGTTAAAGTTGTAGAAACGGAAGTGGCATTATCTAGTCTTAAAGATGATGTTGAAGTCATTGAAGAACCAGTGAAAATAATTGAGGATTTGCCCGACGTTATGTTGTCTAAAGAATCGGAAAATACGAAAAATAACGAAAAACTAGATTTGTCAGGAAATAACAAAAAAGATGAAGACAGCACAATGACGGTGGACATATCGGACACTGAATCTGGTGCAGTTGTATTAAGCAATGAAGCACCAATTGAGGTAAAAGATGACATGGATGTAGAAGTTATTGAAGATACAAAAAATTGTGAACAAAGTTCTGAAAAACAAAGTAAAGATACACCTAGTATGCCTAACAATATTGTAGAACAACCCGTTGTATGCAAGTTATCAAATACACTAGATATTTTGTCTGATGATGATGATGAGGAACCTCCAAAAAAAGAACCTGCTAAGATAGAAGAAAATATTGAAAAACAATGCATTAATATAGAGGATGATGATGATATTATGCTCATTGATGAAGACTCAAGTAAGACTGAAACACCTCCAACTGTAAATAATAGTATTAAGGAGAATGACTCTGACAAAGCTGATAGTAAAACTGATTCTGAAACTGGTGAAAAACCTCTTGAAGAAAGCGACTTGTTTGCAAAAAGTGAATCACAAGGTTAGTAGCTATTTTTATATGTCAGATTATAAGCAATAAATGAATAACAACAACTATTATCATTAAAATAATAGGCATATTTATTATTAACTACCTATAGATTTATTATTTATTTCATAAAATAACCACCATTGTTATTCTAATTTCAGGTTCAAAACCTGCGGAAGAAGCAAAATCCGATAATTTTGAAATGAATATTAGTGAAAAGCAACAAGAAGAAAAACTGCAGACAATCGAGCCAGCTCTACCTCTCATACCGGAAAATTTTCTAAAATCAGCCAAAAAGAATATTGCTGACATGACAAGGGAAGATTTGGAAGAATTCTGTATATTGAAAATAGTAGAAAGTATTGTGGATAGAAGCAGCTTGAGCGATATTAAACAAAAACTAAAATCTGTTGCCCAAGGTGTTGAAGAGTACAGAAAAAAAGTTGGTATGCTCACAAAGCAAAATCTAGATCTTCAAGTGGTTTTAAAATCTATTCAGGAGGAACAGAAAAAGGTGAAACCAGACACTCCTATAACTCCTCTCAAAATAACTCGGTCTGTGGGTATGCAAGTGTTTATGGAAAAGACTGCACAGAGAAGGAAAAATATTGCACAACCCCAACAGACTCAAAATTCCAATAATACCACACAAGTCATGAGCCGACAAGGAAAAGTAGTGACACCAGCAAACACAAATAGTCCTCGACCCCAGAAACCACAGCCCAATAACCAGAATATACCTGTACCTAGGCTAGTGCCAGCCAACAGCCCGGCTATAAAATCACCAAGTTCTATACCTCTAGTCAGTCAAACAACTCCAGGGAAAACTGGCAGTCCCATGCCAAATGGAGTGAAGAATCCCTCACCCCTAAAAGCTGGTGAAAAAAGACAACACAGCAAAGTAACATCTGTGACAGTGGATTTAACTGATGATGAGCCACCAGCAAAAGTGAACAATCGCACATCACCAGCACCTCCAGTTAGAGTAGTTCCATCTCAGAATCTAATGGCTGCTCCAAGACAATCAATTCCAGTAGGTGTTAATAATAGTCCCAGAAAAGTTTACATACCTATTAGTGGTCAGCAGAATCAGAATATCCGACCTGGACAGACTATTATGTTAAAAGCTGTTGGATCACCAGGTAAGTTGTTTTAATCCCAAAATACATAATGTCAATTAACTAATGATCATCACAGTTTGTGACAGCAAATTATTTTGTAAGTACCTACTTATCTGTTCATTTCTTTTTCAGGTTTAAGGCCTAAGGGACCTACTTCTCAAGTTGCAAGAGTACAAAGTAGTTCGATTAGAATGACCAGCAATGTGAGGCCACAATCGTCAGGAAGACATCCAGCTCCTCTACCCGACGCAATGAAGCAATACCAGCCACCAAACTGGAAAGCATTACCACCAGCACCAGAAATCAAATTGTCTAAAGTGGAGAACGGAATAGTAATATCCTGGAAGATTGAGAGTTACCAAGAAGACTGTCATGAGGAGATAGCAAGCTATCAATTGTATGCATACCAAGAAACATCTTTTCCCCCAAGTACAACATTATGGAAAAAGATTGGAGATGTCAAAGCATTGCCTTTACCTATGGCATGTACTTTGACACAGTTCATGGCTGGATTCAAGTACTACTTTGCTGTAAGAGCAGTAGATATCAGGTCCCGACTGGGCCCATTCAGTTTACCCGGGAGCATACTCCTACTGAATAAATTGTAAGACTGATGTTGTGAATGGACCATGCTAAATCCTGCAATGTCATACATTGTAGAGTGCTTACATGCGAGTGTAATTGATAGTGTTGTGTTTGTTTTAGTTAATTATTTATTATTATAATTTGTGGCAATTGTTTAAAACTTTTTGAAAAAGAACTTTTTCCGTGAACTGCTCCCCACTAGTGCTATTATTGTTATGATTTCGGAGCGCTATGGGACCGCGATTGGTAGAATTTACATGACAGAAAGCAGGTGGGAACTGACCACCTTTATTTATCTGTGATGTAACACTTATGTTGATTTTCCTATTTTCCCTTATCTCATTAAACAATTGAGTTAACACTAAATGAACCTGTTACAAATGTTTTTCTTTTAATGGTTAGTGTGTGTAGTATGAGAAATCTCGATGATGACTGATTGATTGATCTTTTGAACAATTAAAAAAAGTAGAATGTAGCATGGAAGTTGTATTGAATTGTAAAGGCGTAACCTAAATTTGTCAGTACTATCTACAGGTATATTCCGAAGTATATATTTTAAATTGTAACTCGTAATCTAGGTACATTACTGCCTGTATAGAATGTGAATATTTCGGATTCCTACTTGTGATTACAGATTTAAAATCTACTTGTGTTTTTATTATTCCCTGGCTACGAACTAATCTTTAACCTTCCTCTTGATCGTTGACCTTTTTACCACAAAAAATATTAAACAATTGGATTTTTATCGATAAAATATTTTTTCGCTGAAGATTGAGCAGTGTGTGTATGTATGGGTTTCGTAATTTGCATCGGTAAATAGTCTTAACATGATTGGTACATAAAAATAAAACATCTGGTTAATATACGCATTGTCATCATGACGACAAAATGTTTTTATTCAACTCTACACATATTATCATACCATTTACATTGTAAAAGACTCACATAATACTTAACGTAAGTATTGGGTGATTTTACTCAATATAGAATTGTTTTTTTAAACGATACTAGCGCCCCTATTTGGGCCAATGTGAATTACAGATTTATCACAGATAGTAGAAAAGTTTCATTATCTGTAAAGATAACTTTCGTGACGTTTGGTAGGTTTGCCGCATAAATAAAATTATACTAAATTGGCAGTTTTTAATAAATTGAGTATCACGGTACCTTTATTTGTTGATTACTATTTTGTCAATACTGACGTTATTTTTTGTAGCAGTAGCTGAGTAGCAAGTTAGAGGATAGATCAATTCAATCTGCTTTCAAGGCTTAATAAATTAGATTTCTTGTAATTTTGGTACTATGTTACAAACGAATTTGTACTATCTGATTGGAATAAGAATGAATTTGGTTTTCAATACATTTAGAATTATATACGTTATGAGACGTGAAATTTTATCAATGTTTTCTTACGAGACTAACAGACAGAATAATACATACTTTTATTATAACGTTGTCGTTAAAATGGTATTCCAGTATTACGTACGACCCAAGAAGGAAAACTATACGAGACGAAACGCAATTGTTAGATATTAGTTTTGTCAGGACTCAAAATCAAATTGTACATTTACTACAAAAAAAAATATTACGATTAGTTCTGGAGATCGGTGACTGTGATTAGTTTCACAGTCACCGATCTAATGTGGGAACATTATAGCCTTGGTAGAAATTTCATTTACATATTGTTAACCCAGTAGTTGTCATTAATGTCAATCTGTCAGCTGTAAGAATTTTCTTCTTGTTCGGTTGGCAATGATATTGTTCCAGTTTTCTGTAGATTCGCGAAGCGGTGGTTCGCTTGTCTCTGAATCGCAAAAATTTGAGGCATTCCAATCGAAAAATACGAAAAACATTCGATATTTTCCGTATTTGACTAGTGAATTAAAGTAATTCTTTAAAAATAATTGTAATTATTAGTTAAACTGTAATGTTTTGTCTTTGTATACTTGAGATCGTTTGACGTAGGTAGTTGACATATCATTTCGCAAGTAGTCTCACGGAGGTGGTTTATTTGTGTACAATCTGTTTCTGTGTAAGGTATCAGATTTTAGTGATTTGTGTAAAGTGTTGCTTGTGTAATAATCAAAGGATCGAGATTCCTTAGTGTAATCGATAAATAGTGCGTGATGTGAACGTGGTGGGTAAAGTTTAATCTACTCGACGCAGTACGTGTTTAGTGTGGTATTGGTGTTTGTTTGCGGTTCCTCCTGCGTCGTGAGAGCCATGCTGGCTCGTTCGTGTCGCTGCGACTTTGATGCACGACCGGTACGATCAACTAGCTTTTAATGTTTTTTTTTTAATTGCTTGTCTTTATGGTCGGATGTGGCTGAATAGATGCTTTCCTTAGCCTGATGTAGTGCAATGTGTAATAATAAGTAGTCAATCTGTAAAGGTAGTAATCACTCATTTACTTTACAAATAGATAAACTTGACTGTTTCTATAATCTAGTTAATTGGTTGTCTCATTACATACATGATTTAGCAAGAGTGAAATATACTTTAAAAGCTATAAAATATATACCTCCATCATATCTATGTGTAGAAAGTACATTTTAAAAACTTGAATAAAGTTTTATTATTTGGATACCCATTATAAAGTAAGATTCCAATCAGAATCAATTACAAAATGAATATAGTTATACTCTACTAGTTTTGTATATAGATAAGATCACAAGAATAAATGTATGTTGAAATAGGTAATTAAATTTGAGAAACAAAGAAAAATCTGATTTAAAAAGAGTTTGTGTAACTTCCATGAAACTTGTTAATGGTTCATCATTAACTCGTTGAGTACCGGTTTTGTAGACACAATTATAGAACAATAGGTTGCGGTCACCGGTGACCGCTTGGTGTTTGACAGTTTAATTGAATTCATATTGAAATAATTTTTTTTTTTAGTTATTTAAAAAGATTTTATACACTTCTATAGACCATTTAAAATTGTATGCAAGCGGGTTTTTTAATTTAGTACTGTTGGAACACAACATTTTATAAAACCTGTTTCGCTCGATGAATTTTATTAGGTATAAATGATTTTCAAAAATTTTATTAATATTTATGAATTAGGTACTTATTTATTCTGCTCACATGTTAACCTCTGCATAGGTCACCAGTGACCAGTGTTTGTGTAGGATTTTCTGTTGATTGTCAACAAAAGCTTAAATAAAATTAAATTTAAATATTTTTCCAAACATGCATTTATGCTCATGCAAACTACAATATATGTACATTTCAACTGGATTGCTCGATTTCATGCATGATTACATGCAAGATTCCATTTATAATATAGGTAAGTATTTATGCATACACCCATAACATCATGCCTTGTATCACTGAAGGGGTAGGGAGAGGTGCACATTATGGCACCTAATGCCACTCTATAATGTAACACTCATTTTTCACTATTTATGTTACGAGTTCCATGTGGGGTTAGCCTATGACCATATACCGGGCACATTTCCAGACTCCATGCTGCTACTGAGATTTTTTTTAAAAACCTAGTAATACTTTGCCCACCCCGGGAATCGAACCCGATACCCCTTGCATGCAGTCACACTTGCAATGACTCTGTCAACGAGTTAGTCATTCATAGGTACACAATTATACATCACACGCTGCAATTTAAATAAAAACTCGTAAAATGAAAGACATGAAATATTAAATTAATATATTAGCTACTCAATTCAAAACTAAATTGTAATTACCAATTACTTTGACTACACACACAATTTAAAATTAAATCATAATTGTCTAAAACAATAATAAAAACAAAATGGACAACAACAGGATGTTTTGCCATTTATGTACAAAATTACAAACTTAAATTGATTACACTATAAATCACATTAAGTGATGTAAACATTTAGAAGAGTAAAAACTAAATGTTTAGTAATTTTAATTCATGGTTGCTAGCCTGATATAAAAAATTGAACATTTTGACTGATAGTTATTTGTACAATCGTAATTTATAGACACAATTAAAGAACAATAGGTTGCGGTCACCAGTGACCGCTTGGTGTTTGACAGTTTAAAAAGATTTATTGTCCTTATCATTCCCGATATTCATGAGTTATCTAAATCAATATGAATAGGATATTGAAATTGTGTTTGTTTATTTGTCTGTTTTTAACCTACTTACTTCCTAAAAAGGTAGAGGTACTCTGTTTGACCTGTATAGCATATAATTATTATGCTACGATCAGCATCTGCCAATGTCTTCGCCAACATTCTCAGAATGAAAATTACCCTATTTGTTATCCCTAATTATAATCTATCTACATACATACATACATAACTTCACTGGCGGACTGACTGACAGACTATTATTTATTTTGTATTTGTTGACGTTTCAAAAGTACCAAACTATGGTTTAATTGAAATAAATGCTTTGACTTTGACTTTCACGCCTGTCTCCCATGGGGGTAGGCAGAGACTAAGGAACGCCAATTACTATGATTCTTACATATCTCTTTCGCTTATAATCTATCTCTATACTAAAATTCATCCAAATCTATTTAGATTTAGTTTTTAATGGATTAACCAACATACACAGTCATTCATTCATACATAGGCATACTAGGGAACTCTTAACTTTTAGTAACTTTTGATAGCTTAAGTTAGTACTTATTTGAGTTTAAATAACTAGAGACATTTGTGGCTGATGTGTTTTTGATTACTAGTTTTCAAATAATTTAAGATCTGTTAGAACAAACAGTCAGTTAAAGAGACTTTAATGACAGAAGTTGAATGCACTTTACAAAAACGAATTCAAATGTTTTAAGTAACAGGCTGACAGATGTATATTTTATATAAATTAGCATGAAATGGATGGCAGCTGTTATGCTTTTAGTAGTTACGATAAGGCACTTCCATACTAATGTTTAATAAGTTACCAAACTCTAATAAGAGTGTTATTAAAATACAATAGTAAACTAACAATACCTTTCTACAGTTAAGTAAAAAAAACCTTATAAGAAATGTTTACTAATGTTCGTTAACATTGTTAACAGGCTTTTATTCCCATCACATAAGTTACGGAGACTTAGCTCAAAGTATAAGATATTGCGTACAAGGTTTTGTTTTAAATAAAGACGTACTTATTAAAATCCTTAGTTCAATATTTCCTTAGTTATATTAAAGTCCGTAGTTCAATTTTTGATTTAATTAATGTAATTCATAACATCATAACATCACGCCTTTTATCCTCGAAGGGGTAGGCAGAGGTGCACATTATACCACTGTACAATGTAACACCCACTTTTCACTATTTATATTATGAGTCCCATGTAATAGGGGGTGAGCCTATTGCCATATACCGGGCACAGTTCCAGACTCCGTGCTACTACTGAGAAATTTTTTTTAAAACGCAGTAATACAGATTAATACACACACATACACAACCTAGTAATATATTAAAGTAATTCATAGATTGTAAAACACCCTGTATGCTATAGATGCAATGAAAAGATTTGATTTGATTGTTTGACATTTTTCATAGGAGATGTGTCAATGTAAAAGCAAATATGAACACAAAATCCGAAACTAGTAAACAGATCCTGAGAATATGTGTGTGTAGATTATAACTTAAGTAGCTATAATATCTGTTAATCCCTAAACGGTCACTGGTGACCCCTCTCCACTAACTCT